ATTTCTTTTCCAAATCTGTTTGGAAAAGGAATTCAGGCTGACCACTGATCCACCCCCATTATTTAGTTGTCTGGTAGAATGATTTTACTGTAAATGAGCCATGATTTCAAAGCTTCCATTACCTTAGATCCAGCTGGTTGCCCAGTTTCAAGTGGCACACATAAAACAATAATTTTTGATATTAATCCACTTCCCAGTCATTCAAGTTCCTTGTGACATGCACATCCCAAACTCTCTTCCCGTCAATAAATGTATATGCTTCCCCCACAAACATGTTTTTATTCTGAGCAATGGCAAAGATTCTTGGGAATCTATCTTTTAGTTTGACATTACCACACCAAAACTCCTCCCAAAACCGAATCTTATCACCTGTCCCAACACGCCATCTTGTGCAATTTAGAAAGTTTTGTCTACCCATTACAATCTTCGACCAAAGGCTTCTTCCATGAGGTCTCACGGCTTCTCTATTGTCATCCCCCATACATCCTGCACCCCATCTAACCTCCACCACCCTCTTCCATAAACAGTCTCCTTCACGGTTGTACCTCCACAACCATTTGCCATGTAATGCATTGTTCATTTGTACCACAGATCTTAATCCCAAACTCCCTACAGCAAGTGATTTTTTACGTTCTCCAATTTCACCATTAATATCTTTGTTTATCCACCTCATTGGAGACTTCTTGGTTCATCATGCTATTGCTTTAAATTTACATACAACTACATTGATCTTAGTAAAAGGTATTTTAGATACACGGGTTCCAAGTTAATGCCAGATAAAAAGGATTTCGGTTATAATTTTTATTACGATGGTCGGAGACGAGGTGGTACTTGTGATATTTTGGCTTGGAACGCGTTTTATTTGGCAATTTTCTGAATGTAAAATACTATCGGATTGGTTACTTTTTATTGGTATTGGAAACACATGATAAACCCACACACCGAGGGAAGAAAGGACAACTGACTCGGTCAAGCCACCATCCTTAACTCCCTACATCTGCAGTAGCTGGATTTTTTCTTTATCATTTTCTTTTGATTTTTTATCCTTATCAGTTCCTTAGAAGTAAGAAGTACAGTGTTTCATTTTTTTTTATTTAAATAAAATGGGATCATGATATTTTTCAGAAATGTTCAGATAATTTTCTCACCTTAAGAAGAAAAATTTCCTGATTTCTAACTTTAATCTGATTGGGACCTATCAATTGGTATCAGAGTAAGGTTAGAATCACCAAAACAAACCCCATGGCGTCAAAAAAAGAACGATTTGAGAATCTTGAAGCTAGGTTGGGCAGATTACAAGATAGTAGAACC